CACAAAAGTGGTGACAGGTTACCACTTCTATTTGTATAAAGTAAAACTTTAAAAGGGTTATATTCGGATATGGTGATTACGGTTTCCCACTATGACTGGAATACGTATCACACTCCCGTTCGATGTCATGGACGCATAAGGCCTACTTTCATCATTATTGGAAAATTCAACATTACGACTACGCTACACAGCCCCCTGGGCAAGTGTGTTGCATATTAGAGAAGACTTGCAAGGTAAACCAGGTTTCGCTTAGAAGATAATGTGAAATGCCTCCTTGCCTTCAAGCGACAGGAATAAAGAATCTGAAATACACAATGACAGTAGATGGAGGAGTGGTGTGATCGTGCGGCTGATGCTGGTGAAACTTTCGTCAATTTGTTCGGGCAACGCGCTGATTTCGCATGAAGGCATGGCAACAAAAGCAGCGGATGCACGTTCATCCAAGTTTCCCTTTGAACAAGATCAAGTTGCTTAAGTGAGGTCAAACCAACTGGAGAAGAAGACATGCTCATAAAGGAAAGATCGAGTGTGCGGTGGAGTGACAAGTCGGCTAAAGAGGACAAAACGGCTATGGGTACCATGCGCATTGGCACACGATGTCGCGCAACATAGGATCCCCCTTTTTGTCTTGCTCTTTCCCTATTCATTGTGGGTTCGGATAGGTTCGGATACAGTTGGCTCGAGCCCGGCCATGAGCCATCAGAGCAACCGCGCCGAGGCGAGGAGACAATGCGATCTTGGAGTCTGCCGACGTGTGATCGGGCAGGACTGGCCAATAGTCATGCTCGACCAATATGTGATTGTGGCCATGGTTGAGCGGATGCGGGGGGGGGAGGAGATCACATTTATTGTCTTCACTAACGAGCCTGTCGACCAAGTGTTTATCATAATCGAGCCGCCCTCCACACCTCTAACTGGCGGTGGTTTGGTGGTCGGAGCTATGGCTGTTGAGACATTTGGATGGGGGTGGGAAGCCGACCAACCCGTAAACAATTGGTACCGGATGCAAGGCCGGCACACTAAGCTAAGCCCTCTATTGTTGGCAGGGCTTGGCTACGTTCCAAGTGGCCGAATGGGAGCATCAGCGACAGTGAGAATACGGAAAGCCCCAAACTGTTTGAAGGGAGAAAGGGAGAATAGCAGAGGAGCCTTCGTGGTCATAGGTGAAACCCTATTTGACCAACAATTAGTCACATTAAATGAGGTGTTAATCGCGAAAATCAGTCACAACATTTAGGTCTCCTTTAGGCACTGATAAACGCAACGAATGCCAAAGATTTACAATTGGAATTAAGTCGATTTAGAGTAAGAGATGCCGTCATCTAAGGTCATCTAAGTGACAGTAAATTGTCCAAAAATCAAAGCGGAAACGTTGGAGCTGGTATCAAGGGCAGGCAAGCCGTTTGAGGTACCAGACCTTGGTCACACTTTCGACTGGTTTGATCACTCATCCCTATTTTGCGTCGGATAAGACAAATTCAGATGATAATAATACTAATCATTATCTACCTTTGTGACATACTAATTATGATTTCCTATCATGACCAAGCAGCTTTTGTGCAAATACTTAATCTTAAACAGTGTACCGTATTTCACGTATTTGTCAATTCAGGTCTAAAGTTACGGATATTGTAAATTTGTGTATGAGCTTTACCCATTTTGGCTGGACTGGACTACACTTTCAACTTTGCCCAGATATCATTAACACCCAGAGCAGTGGGAACATGTCAAAAGTGTAGGCTATACTACCAGGGTTTGATTCCCAATTGAGAGAATGCTTTCTCGGAAGTAAGGTTCCGTGAAATTAGATTACATCCTAATTCCTATTCACCTAATTGCGGGACAATTCGCAATCAGTCCTCCATCACCTTACTTGGCTCAGACTGACTAAAGCTCATATTCGAAAATCTACATTACTCAACACTTACTAAATGAATAATTGAAATGATCAATACGTGAAAAGAAGTCCATTTAATCATGAATGAAAATCATACCAATTATGTGTCACAAAGGCCGATGATGAATTTTTCCTATTCTACGCTTCTACTGGAAGGTGAACCTAGTGAAGATCGAGTGTGAAGAAGATGTAGTAACTCACACGAATTTACTTTACTACATAACAGCTACATAATTCCCGTTTGATAAATATTGCAACTTGACCTTCAACTCGAACCATGTAAAATAGCTCTTGCCAATTAAGTGGCTCGGACCTGTTTTCACAGGTCCGGCTGATACACTCGAAGCCTGGAATCGGTAGTTTTCACAACTGTATTTTTCTATGTATTTCGGTCCCTGTTGACAACCTCGCGTCATCGGAATGAATAGGGCAAAACCAACAGGATATTGATATTGCCTAGACTTGGATCGTGTATCGCATCTGATTGAATCTATTGTCTGGAATGTCGCTACTCGGATATATTATCACTCATCTGATTCACCGCCATTTAAGTTAAAATAAGTAATAAATTTAGGTCGTTATAGATTCGAAAACCTGGCCAATCCACTGTTGGGTCATTATGATCACGGACATAAACATGGAATTTATTGTGTCCCTCTGAAAAGAGGGGAAATTAAGTAAATTAAGTCCTAAGTACTCTAATCTATAAATGATCATGCCATAACATAAACGTAATTTTCCATTTTTAGTGAAAAGGTGTCATATATTTGATAAAAAGCTGAATTGAGTAGAATATCTAAATTATTATTTATGAATTGTATTTCAATGAACCATTAATCAGGTCATAAAAATGGGTTGTATGAGACACAACCCAGCAATAGATCGCGTCAAATATGCAATCCAATCGTGACATAAAGCTAATTCAGACGGCAAAGTTATAGAAATTTCAGTGCCAATTTGAGGTGGGAAACTCGTATATCATTCCTAATGTGGTGGGCTATAATCCAACTTGGGAGCATAATAAGTCATATCATAAGTTGTATTGCTATTTTATGGTCCCTCCGCATCTGTTTGCAGATGATCGAAGCAGATAAACATACGTTTTCTTTCAAAATGGGCAACTGTTTACTCTGATTTCTTATTCTACTTGTTCTGTATGTGTCCATTATTCATAGGGCATTGTGATGTTTAAAACCGCCGTCCCATTTTATTTAGGGGTGCATCAAGCCCCTCTTTTTGATTCCCTTTATGGTATTTCTGAGCTAACCCAATTAGGGTTCGTCTGGGGCTTCAACTCACCACGGGTAAGCCTGACCTCACCCGGGGTCAGCGCGTTGTTGATCGCCCGGCTAAGGAAAAGAAGAAGGAGAAGGAGGAGAAGATAAGTCAACGGTCGGATGATGAAAATTCTCATTAACATGTTGGCATACGATACTTGACTATTTACATTCC